GGGCCTGTTGTTACCTGTCTGCTTTCAAGAAATTAGACTGATACGGTTCTTAAAGAATTACTAGATCTTCAAGTGCAGTATCATCACACATACATGTCTAACAGAGGATCTTTCTCCTTCAATGCTACTATAACCTTGCCTAGGAAGGTTAAGTGACATCAACTTGTATCAATTGCTCTTGGTTTTAATTCTTTTCTTAAAAAATACATTACACAGAGAAATTCACTATTTAGAAAGGACAGAATGATAAGTGCGAAAGAGGGAGGAAATGTTAGAGATGAGAAAAGCAATTCCTGAACAGGTGGCTCTGTGAACCCCATAAACCCATCTCTTGTGAAGACAATGGTCCATCCAAGAACTCCGCAGCCTGGTGAGACCTCCCAGTGTTGGACAGCCCAGGTGAGAAGCAAGCAGAGCTCACCATTTGGTTAATCACAGCTTCCCTTCTGTTTGGGAAGAGTGGCTTGTCTGCAGTGACATGCCATTGCCGTGGCCCTTCACACTCCCCTCTGCTCCCAAAACAGTCCATGCACATCTCCATGGGGTGGCTCCAAGGAACAGAAACAAGAAGGTCTGGAGAATTCAAAGGACACTCAGCTAAAACAGCTAGAAAAAGAATGGGTAAGACAGAAAGCACAAAAACTCTTCTTCTGAGGTAGCAGCTCCAAAAGCAGACATGGCATTTAAGAACGAGAACTCTTGAATTTAACTAGTTCCATTCATCAGATCATCTGAGAGAATGAGTAGCTGATATCTGGAAAACAGAGATGGATGTAAGCAAGGGAAGAGGTATTAAAGTGGTTATTACCTACAGGAGAGATAAAAAAAGAGAGATTGGTAATTTACTGCCTGCCTGACAGCCAGTAGAGGAGGCAAGAAAAGATTATAAATAGCTATCAAATATTGCTACCAGGCACATGATTTTAAGTATCAAGACTCAACTTCTGTTTGCATTTGGAGTTCTTTATGTACGATGGCTGTCATGGCCAGCCTGCTCAGGCTTTCTAAACTCATGAGGATTTACAGTCTGCAGTGGCATCTGATGATTCCTGTAAGTCTTTCCTGCCTCTGCAGAATGCAGGCAGTGGGTGTGGGTACAATGCAGTAGAGCTGTGAATATCCCTCTTCTTCCTCCTGTGCTATTGTGAAGTATTAAATTAGGCCCTAACACTTTGAGTGAAGCTTCAGATGAAAAAGAAGGAAGGTAGATTTAAATGCAATAATACTGCTCTTACTAAAATATAAAGGAAAACTAAAACTGGGATTGTAACTACCCCAATAAGAGCAGCAGACATGCTAGGAAGCTTTCACCATGAATGCAGAAACTCTCTCCTCAGAAGCTACAGGTTCTTAAACCTCTCCTGCTCAGAGAGCGGAGATAGAAACCTGTTGACAATGATCCAAGACAGGCATTTTTGCAACATGCAAACCCCATCTCAGACAAGAGTCACAAAATTATTTTTTATTTTATTGCAGTGAGAAGCTGCCACCACAACACTTTTAGAAACAAAGGCTGCAGAAATGTTTTGCCCTAATCAAAATAGTAGGCTCTGATTTCAGCTTTTAAGGTTTTATTTGAGCTCTAAAAGCAAACAGAAAACCCATTGTATCTCCTAAGCTAAATGAAGAGTCATTTTAGAAATAAAAACCTGAAGCATTTCCTCCTCAGCAGTATCACACAAATGAATTACTCCCATGTTGCAAACCCCCCCACCCTCAACACAATTTCTTTCCAACACTATTCCAGTGAAACTTGCACATGCTGCAAGCACACACAAGTCTGCTCTCCAGCTAAGAACCTTCCCTCTGCACACACCAAGGTTCTACCCCTTTATTTGCAGAGTAGGAGCCACCTTCCCCTCTTCAGCTTTCAGGAACAGCAGTTTATATCTTCAGGTTTCCCTGAAACACTTTGGGAAAGGCTCTACTACCCATGAGGGGCCAAACCAGAGCCTCCTCAAAATAATATGGCCACTTCGTCATCCTTGTCTGTCCTACTCCCTCCTGGGCTGTGCAAGCCCACCAGTTCAACACAACTGACTATAGAAAGTCAAACAAAGCAAGCTCACAGTCAGTCATGCCTCACACTTTTCTCCTTCCTCTTAACCCAGTTCCCACAGATTTTTTTCAGTGTGTTTAGGTGTGCTGGTCTCCCTGGGGAGTGAGCCCCTGCCCCTGGCTATGTGCTACTTGTACTGCTAAAGCCAAACCAGATGTTGACACAGCCAGAGAGGAACATCCGTCCCTGTGAACAAGTGAGGCTGCACTTCAACTTGAACACTGCTAAGATCGAACTGTGGCATAGAAAAAAAGTAAATATTCCCATGTTGGATGACCCAGAGCACCTCTAATTTCAGCAAAAGTTTGAACTCTTGCAAAATTTTTGCACTCCTGCTTATAGATCCTGACAATCATCTTCTAAGAATATCAATCCCTTCAAGATTTAATCTGGTTTCTAATTTTACACAACACAAGGGCTGAAAGAACAATGCCACCAATTGCTTAAAGCTTTGGGGTCTTCAAGCTTCTTGATGCTGCCCCAGAATCTTTGCTGTACTTTTTCAACATTAACTAGATTTTGATCTTAAATTACATACCTTGGGGAAGAAGGGTGAGACAGAACAGAACACACGAGAAGACTAACTTTCCCCTTGTTATACATTAAAAACCCCAAAGCCTCTAGCACCTGAGCTTTGAATCAGCTTTTAAGAAAATTACTCTGTATGTAAAAGTTCCAGAGTGAAAATACCAAAACATTAACATCAGTTACAGTTAACTCCTTAGCTTAAGCTCCTAAAACAAAAAAGGCCAATGCCCAAGGCACACACATGCCATTTTTTCTTTCTGCAATTGTTTAAATTCTTAACAGTAATAAGCACAGGCAGTTCAGTCAACAAACAACGCCTTAAAAAGACAGCTACAGTGGTGTTGCAGGCACATGATCAAGGCTTCCTTCTAGCCAAAGGCTTATCCCTGAGTCTAGTTGTAGATACAAATACCCAGCAGTGTCTCCCTTTGACCCTCCACCCCCTGTAGGAGTAAGGATTCAGTACATGAGGACAGAGACAGGCATTTCTTTGCTTTGCGGTCTGAATGGAGACTGTCATTTTCTGAGCCCATACTGCAGAAAAAAAGCACTTTGAAAAACATTCTTTGATCAACGAATACAATCCCTGATTAATGTTTTTTCTTCCCATTCTCAAGTCCACTTAAAAAACAATTTCTCAGCAACTTTAGATTCCTTCCTGACTGATTTAAATTATTCTTCCCTCCAAAAAACAGCTTCTCTACCTCATACATCCACCACTGCCACACACAAACTACTTTCATTAAAAAAAAGAAGCAAAGATGTAACCTGAGTTGCATTCCTCTATCACAGTATTTGTTCCCCACAGACTGGGGCTATGAGCACTCACCTCTGCCCGAGTACCAGGCAACAAAACCAGTTTTGATTGCACTGATCTGAGACCCTCTCTGTTGTCTATGAACAGCTTCATGCACGAAAAGCACTGTAGAGACTGCAAAGGAGGGGCAGCAGCCCCTCCAGCCTAATCCCAGCCTAATCCAAAAGGAGATGCAGCCCACCCAGAGCACAGGGCGGGGAGGACAATGGGACGACAGCCCCCTTCGTCTGCCCTCTTGACTGTGAGTGAACGCTGTAACCATGGCCTGATGGAGGTTTTACAGCACCAACACTGAGCAGTGCCAGGCAAGCAAGTCTTAACGAAGCCAAGTGCTACAAAAAGCCTTCTCAGTTGGAGTAGGTGAGGGAGCTCTGATTTTAAAACAGGCTGAGGGGTCTGGTACGGTTAACTCCTAATTAACCTACAGGTTAATTAGGGCTAACCGATACACTAACTTGAAAGCAAAGGGAAACATTACTGCAAAGAAACTTCCTCCATTTAACTACCTACCTACCTACCTACCACAAGATGACCTGAACTGTGTAGTGTGAAGGGGGAGCAGGTTGGCTCCATTGGTTAGAATATGGTGCTAATAATGCCAAGGTCATGGGTTCATTTCCCATAAGGGCCATTGACTTAAGAGTTGGACTTGATGATCTTTGTGGGTCCCTTCCAACTCAGAACGTTCTGTGAATATCTGAGGAGATTCAACAAGCAGCTTGGCAAGCCCAAGGGTTGGCACAGGCAGCACTCTCACACCTCTCAGGACAATGACAAGTGAATCAAACAATTGATAAAGGGATCCACCCGCTGTCCTTTAATTCATGGCCAGTGCAGGGACTAAATACACCCTTAAGACATACAAATAAACATGCAGATGCAAAAAGACTGGTTCTGATGGTTTTGATTTAAACACTGCCTCCAATTGCCATGGTCTTTATCACAAAGACTTATGGCTGGTTTAGTAGTCCAGAGAAACCTGGCCTTAAAAACTGATTTGATTCTAATGGCATTTTTCAAGTGTTTTGTCCTTTGGAGGAGGGGGCAAAATAAAAAATTGAAGCACTAGAATTAAGGTTTCATCATTACTTTTTGCCCCTCCAACATCAACAGGATTCTGTAGAGGCCTTGCCAGCATCCCATAGTTACACAGCTCCTTTTATGCCCTTTTGCTCCCAAGCAGTGTAATCACTCCTAGATCATGTTCCAGATGATAAAAGGGTGAGCCACTGCTGCAAAAAGAATTTCTTTCATCACCTAAACAGTGTGCTTGAAAAATACAAGCAGCTGAAGTGTTTTCATCATTTCAGCACATCATCACTTTGTTGATTTAAGTATTTCTGCTTAATATGCACACATTACAAATTTTAACTTAATCAAATCATCACAATAGACTCAATTCTGAACTTCAACTCACACTGTTACTATCATTCGTGGCAAAATAAGAATCTACAGATGCATAAAACAAGAAAAGCCATTTACTAGTGAAGGTGATGGCAATGCTGAGAACATCTTCACCAAAATTAGCGCTCTGCCATACTACAGCAAGTGCAAATTGATCCACCACCCTAAGCGTAGTAACAGAACAAGGGAGAATATGAATCATCTTAATTTTATGGATGCAGAACAGGATTACAAAGTCATTAGGTGACTTGTTATATCAGAAGCTTCAGACTGTAAATTAGTGTTATCTCTCCAGCTCACTACCTTAACCATCAGGGCAAAGCAGTCTTCCTCCCTGATAAGGTACACAGGGATACACAAACACAGAATCTTACGTTGTATTGCAAGCAATATGCTACTCTGAGAATTAAACTCTCAGTTTTTCTAGTGTGACCATTAGATGGCAACAGATCCAGCTTCTCATTAAGTCACTGGCAACACCACATCACCAGGCCGTGTTTAGAGAGGAGTTATCACCAAGACAAAGCAATAGGAATGAAAGATGAAGCATTTGATTTCATATTCTTGGTTCTTCTGCTGACTCTTTTTGCAGCTGGAGCAAAATCAAAAGGCACACACTTGCCACACTGTTCTATCTGGTGTATTTAGTATGGACCAAGACTTTCCAGTTCAAGGAGCACAACAAATTCACACAGTGCTTTATGCACCAAATCCATGATTTTCTTTGATGCCACTGTGGTAACCATCAGGAGAAGTGCAGTCAGATGAACAACGAGGACCAGAGGAGTCATTCACAGGATGCCCAATGTGTCTGTCTCCAAACCAGTTGAGGTAAGAGCCTCAAAAGGAATTCTGGCAGCTTTGCACATCTGTCTGGACAGAGAGGGTATTGCAGAATTCCAAGCTTACCCCTGGAAAAGTATGTGATCTGTATCAATCCCACGAAGTTTAAGGGTGAGTAGAAGGACGCTTTCTCCCAGAGGACAAAGGATTAATAATCAAGCATACAAAAAACAGCTGTAAAGTGTTTAAATAGCCCAGGAAGGACACAGACTGTCAAAACTCATGGTATAAACAGAGGCAAAGAAAATGCCTTTACGATTTTGCAACTGATCAGAGAAGACAAGACTCCCACCCAAAAGCAGGTAATTTTCTTGAGTACTTTTATCGACAGCAGGAGATGGTGTCACAGTGCAGCTGTAATACAATCCCCAGAGATGTGCAGATCACAAGGCTTGTCTTAAGCTGAAATATGATTTAACAAAACAGAGACAGTAACAGAGATTAAAATTTTAATTTAAAACTTTGCCAACAAAAATTGATTACAAAAAGGGGAAATTATCTGTACAAAATAAGAAAGAAGGTACTCATTTAACAAGAGACTGCCATTGTCAAATGTATGTGGGAGGACAAACAGTGCTTCAGGTCAAGTGACAAAGTGAGAAAGTAACAAAGTGAGCTTGTAATATGGAATTTGAAAGTGAATTTTCCATAAACAAAGTAAATTGACCTGAAGCAGCTCAAAAGCTAATCAAGGCTTATAAGAAGTCTATATTCCTTGCTAACCTTTTCCTCCTAATTTAGAGGAGGAGGATGTACTAAAAAGCAAAACCCAGCACGGTGCAATGGGCCAGGACAATTACTTTTGCTATGCTTTCACTCACTCAAGCCTTCCTTCAGGCCTTCCATACAAAGATACTCTACAATTCGAGTGTGCCAGGGCTTCAGCTTCACTTAACAATTGGGTCCTGACTCAAAATGAAGACAAATGCTTTGGGCACAGTGATATTACTATGACTAAAAAGACCAGCTGTACCATGACTCCTATCAAAATTATGGTTCTCAGACTGTTCAAGTTCACATCAAATATCAGCCATTGGTCAATGATAAATTTGTATTTACAACACTGCACTCCTCTTTTCTACCTACCATTTTATACACAGAAAGACACAAGAGCATCTTTAAAACTCATCATTGAATAGACAAAAATGGCAAGTGATTGCTGAACTCCAACTTCCTGTAAAAATAAAACTTAAACACACTACCAGTTTTCTACATTTTTCCATGAGCCAAATCAACATAATTGAGTTGCAGTGAAGAAATGGAACATGCATTTATTTCAAGCAGGCCAGCTGAAAACTGTCAGTCCGACTGCTTATTTTCCACTTGGCTTCCCCTCACATAGTATTTACAAGTTTTTACACCTTCAAAACCCAGCTTTTGTGATGAAACAAAGCAGTAATAAAAATGTTTCAGCCCAGATTGACTTCATCTACTTACAGTTACCTGAGATACCTAAGTTGAGGCAGAACAGCTTTCTGTGCCCTACCTACCCAGTAAAATGACAGACAAGTGCTAAAGGGCAATTCGGTCAGACTTGAAACTCATCCTAGTGACAATGCTCTCCTTCCTCCAACCATAAAACAAAAAGTGAGCAACTACATTCTGACTTAGAAGTCTTGGTTAAGCTTTGAGTAATTGTGTTCCTATGTGAAGTGTTGGATTTAAGTGAACCTAAGCCTCACCTGGCTCACTAGCAGCTCCATCCAAGGGAGGCCAGGGACAGCTGTCTTTAAGAATGCTGTGAGACATGCACGAGTCCTCCTTACAGCTGGGAAAGCTGGGATAAGTAAGAAGTTTGCTCAAGTCCATGCAGCGAGTCAGTAACAAGCTGGCATTACAGATTCCTGGATCTTAGCCATGTGCTCTGCCCATGGGAACCCAGTGCAAGGAAACTACTGTACAGAATCATTCCCTTTTCCATGTAATAATTTTTTACAAAAAAAAAGTACAGCTACTAATAAACAGTGTACACAATTTCTTATTTGACAATGAAAGAGTCCTGCAGTAAAACAATCTGTTCTATTGTATCTTGACCCTGCAAAAAATTATTTCCAGCTTTGATTCTTTGATGTCTTAAAGCTTTTAAGAGAAAGATGAAGATTCAGTTAAACAATGCTGCAATCAGTACCCTTTGTATTAACCACAATGATATGTTACATTTTCTAGTTTAAGCAGTATTTATGCTACCCAATTTGGCAATCAAAACAGAAACCTTGAAGCCAGGAATTCACAGATCTTAGGGGGAAAAAAAAAAAGCCAGACAATTTCAGTTTTAACAGAACAAGCCTTGTAACATGCTATGAAGAGTTCAGAGATTTCAATTCTGTGAATATCTGTTATTGACATTTCAAACAAAAGCCCTCTAGTTCTTGGGCTTGCCCAGCCCATGATGTAGCAGATCAGACAAATGCTGCACAGCAAGATAAAAACTCTCCTCAAAACATAGCTTAATAACAGAAATGAAACATTTGCAATTTGCTTTATGAATGCAGCAGAGAGATATCACTAAAATAATGTCTCCAAAGAACCTGGGACTTTAACACAGCTATGGAAAAGGTCAGCTTCCTAAACTTAGGGGCTTGTTTGAGCCATCTGCCTCACACTGGATCCTTATTTTACCATGGTCAGCAAAGTTTTAACATACCAGGTGAGATAGAACACCATCAGCTTGTTCCATCACATGATGGAACAAGACAGCCAATGGATCCTGTTGTTACAGGCAGACAATACTGTATAAAGAAGGCTTATTTTTAATGGCAGAATCAAATTGGACACTACTGGCTAACCTGGAGCAAGATCTACATTTTTTTCCTTCTGGAGTTTTTAATTTTCTCTTGAACCAGAAACATTCCTTCTAATCAGTTAAATCCAAGAGTATTACAGAGAGCTCAGTTCTTTAGGCATGCTCTGCACCAGGAAGGGTCGGTTCTACATCCAGTTAAAACCGAAGAGTTGATGTTTTCCAAGGGCAGGAGTTCTTCACTGGTCACCTAGTCGGAAACCTTGGCCCCAGTTGTGCCTTCCACCACCCTGCTGATCTTCTGCAGCTCTTCTCATGCTGGCAGGAGGAACACCAAACCCCGACACTCCCCCTCTCCTATTTGGCAGCCAGCGGTAACTAGGACCAACCAGAAGAGGAGTTACAGAAACAGCTGTACCCTGGGGGTAAATGACAGACTACTTTTCCGTGCACTTCCTTTTAGCTGACAGACTTTGCAATAAAACTGGCTTTTCACAGTAGAACTTCAGAGAATCCTGTCCAAATCTAAGCCCTCAGCACACTGAGAAATGGGAATACAGGGAAACTTCCATTTCTGGGAATCAAGAGAATTGCACATATCCAACAAGACTGATGGCACTTTCAGAGCTGTTACCACCTTGAAAGACATTTTTAAAGACGATCTTGTCTTCTAATCCTTATAGAAAATTAGATTTACTAGACAGGCTTGCAAACATAGAATTAGAATATAAAGCTTCCCTACTGATTAAAATCTGTACACAAAGTATAACTGTAATTCAACAATTTATGCTATGAAGAGGGTTAACTGAGTTTTAGCTAACGTTTGATAGAGAAAGTTTCTAACTAAAGTTTGATAGATTTACAGCCCAAAAGGATGAGGATAAGGACAATTGCAGCTAAAAACTTAGGCTTCTGATTGTAGTATTTCAATGCCAAAACAAGGAACACATCACAAGAAAAAGCACTTCAGACTTGCAGTCTCAGTTAAGGTGAGCAGAATCATATTATAGTCCTGAACAAGTCTACAGCTGACTCCCATTATTGTTAGACATTGCTGAACTGGTAGCTACTGTAATGATACATGGGAATACAGAAAAAAGATGACTTACAGGATAAAACTTTTTTTTTAATACCATCTGATAATTGTTAGGGAGTTCTCTTTATTACAGCTCAATTCACTAGCAGAACTATGACTTTCACTCTCACTTTTAAGAGTGGGCAAAGGACATAAGTCATCCAGAGAGGTAAGAGAACTCTCACATGGACCGTTTAAAAGAAACTCAATATTTTTGATGACTCATCAGCTCAGTCAACATGATAGTCTAAAGCAGGTTGATTTAGCAAAGTATTTTACACTTTAAAATCCCAGCAAATATATGTCTGATGAATCATACAAAAAAATTGAACCAAACAAACAGTGAGGTAAAGAATAAGGTCACTTACAGGAACTGAGGTGTGGACAGAAAATTCCTTCCTCCCAAATCCACTGGATATTTAAACATTAAGAAGAAATACAGGTGTCCAACCAGATTTCCTATCAGCTCATTGATGACTCTGTAAAGCAAAAAAAAAAAAAAAGAATTGTTTTACATGCTGTCTTCTCCGAAAATAAGAGTGATCACCTTGTGTTCACCTGCCACGGGCATTGCCAGGGCTGTGAGACACAAAAAATTTCCCTTCTCTCAGCATTTTGCAGCCAATTCTTTAGAAGGGTCAACTTTCTGTGCCAACACTTCCAAGCCTTCTCTACAGTCTGTACTGAAAATGCAATTAAATACTTATTTACATCAGGGAATTAGACCGTACAGCTATTAGTGCCTAAAATAATAGTCTGCAGAGCTAGAGAAGTTAGTGCTGTTTTCACTGGACAACCTGTCTCCCACTGTACTGAGCTGTTTTGTTCCCAATTTTACAAAAACACAGCTGACTGGAGGCCCTTGAGTATCTTCTGTCATGCATAGAAACAGCAGGTATCTAACAGCAAGCAGTTCTCACAAGTGACGGATGAGTCAGTAGGAGGCACAGCCAGAACAGGGAATTTGGTTTTGCTGTGCTATCTCCTCCTTTTATAACTCAACCTCAAACTTGTTATTGTCACTAATTGTGTTACAGCGGCACCAAGAGGCCCCAGCCAATGCAGGGCACCAATAAGACAGACTGTGCACAGAGAGGGGAATTCTGCATCATGGAGTTTACTCAAAGAAACCCAAGACAGACCAAAGACTTCATCAAGTGCTAATACGGCACTCTGTGGACTTATTTCCATTTTCACTTGTTTCACAAACTGAAAAAAGATCAGGATAGACAAGACTGGGAGGGAAAGAAGTAACAGCACTGTCAGAGGCAAGCTAACTTTGTTTCTAAAACCAGTAATGATGGCTAGTCACATGAATGACATCTTTCTTTACTGTGTGTTACTTTTATAGCATGGAAAAGGCCTAACACATACAGTCACTAGAAAATAAAACAAACTTATTACTTTCCCTTCATCTACATTCTCTAGTTCTCACATGCACACCTCTTTGCTTTTATCTTAAATCATCACCACGTGATACTAGGCATTATCAGTCACATTATACGGTTTTAAGCTTATTTTAATATTACTTCTAAATTCAGCAGCAAATTAAATAGCTCTAAAAGCTTTTATAACTTCAAATTTGCCATAGAAGTAAATACATACGATCCACCAATGATGTAGTTGAATCCCAGAATAACCCATGGGAGGTAACAGGCCTGAAAAGGAATGCAGTGAAGAGAAGTTGTAAGTACAAGTTAAGGAGGTAAACCTGCTCTCAACTTCCCACTGCACTAATGAGCATGATCATAATCTCAACATATTAGGCATTACACAAATCCTGATCTATTAACTGAAAGAGATTCAACCTACAAGGGAAGATACTCCAAAGTGAGTGAAGACTAACATTTTTAGACAAAACATACTCATTTAAGCATTATAAGTAGACATGCCTTTTGCCCCCATGTTCCACAGCATGCTTGTATCTGGAACAAAGTCCTAAAGTTTCCGACTTTCAAAAGCTCTTGAAACAATGATCAAAAGAGTTTCAACTACGAGACCTGGCAGAAACAGACAAGGTCACCCAGGAAACAACAATTTAAAGTATCAGCATTTTGTCACTACATTCAGCTTTTATCCAGGCTAATGTTTATCAGGAATTTTTTCTTTTCGGAATGATGAATTTCAGTTGTCAGGACATCTTTTCAGTAAAGCCACACTAAGTAACACCACATGGAAAACCACGAAGAAATTTGTCTTTGCTGCATCTCAAAGAGTATACAGCTATGTAAAAGTGTGGAACATCTTTAATAAGAGAAAATATTTATATTTTGCCCCTCACCCCCTACATATGCATCTTATGGGCAGGAACCTTTCCAATATCCTGCCTGACATACCTTAAATCTTGTTCCAAACCAAAACGATACAATCATGTCTCTGTTCAGCTGGGCCCACACATAAAGTACTGACATGATGAGTGGAATCATCAGCAACTGCAATGTTAAGAAAGAAATAAAAAAGGCAAACAGTTACAAACACTTTCACAGAAACTAAAGAAACTTAAACAGGCAGCAGGAGCTATAACCTTCAAAAGTGGCTTGTAAGCATGGTATGTCAGTAAAGTCTTTACAGACTGCCCCAGAAGCTTTGCCACCATGTGTCAGAGATCCGTAAAAAAGCCATTGAGAAAGCTAAGGAGGAGAACCTACTTGGGTCATTCTCTTTTGCAAGACCATGCCAAAGCAAAGGGCTCCAACCTGCACCAAGTGAAAGAGCAGCTGTGGAGAACTCCTTTGCTCCCAGTTGCCTGGTAGGACACCTACAGCAGAGCCAGCCATGGACCAGTGCCACAATAACTTCCAGGGCACTAACCCAAACAGTTACTCCACTGAACTGCCACCTATGAGCACCTCAGAAGGAAGGGGCACCCGTAAATCACCATTTCAGGGCACTGCAGCCAGCCTTGGCAAAGCTGCCTTGGTAGAGCTTGGAGATAACCCGCACTCCACACCAGGAGGTGAGACTGTTTCAAACACTTCCTTACTGTGACTGCATATTAGGTGATTGGACTATTTCTAGTGAAGAAATACAAAGCACTATTTAGCTATCTGATGATTTCTGAAGGCAGACTGCACCAGCAACATTTCCATGAACTGGCTGAATGCTATGAACCAGCTCCTGTGTTTAGAAGAGGTTGAAACTCATCCCTTCAGGGGAGTTTCTATCCAACAGGTTCCACATTAACGCTGGCACACCACTACCAGCCCAGCCTTCCACAAGCCCCACGCGTGTGCACCAGCACTCTGACTCACCACATGAGCACTTTAGGGTCTTTAGTAAAACTCTTTTCATTTTACTGGAAAAACAGTGGAATATCTAATTTCTGAAAGCATTTGACATAGGAATAGTGCCAGCTATCCTACTCTATCTTCTCAATTTCAAGTAAGGCCACTAAACACAATCAAAAAACCCCCATTTTTTTAAGAAAACCATGTTTGTACGTCAAACAACTGATTCTCTTTTAAGCAATAGTTTGTATCCAGTTTAAAAAAAACCAAACATTTTAAGTACCTATTTTAAAATGTACAAATCAACACAATCAGTCTAAAATTCATACAATGTATGGGTGACTGCAGCATGCTTTTGTAAAATTTTGTGATGTCTTCCCCACAGCAAAGAAAATTTTAAGCGCGAATAACAGAACTCAGTCCTGACTAGAGATTTTTGGTTTTGTCTACCAGGAGAGCCTGATAAGTGATCCAAAAATGCTAAAATAATTTTGTACAAAATACTACAGATACTGGTGCAGGCTTTAGGTGATGGGGACAGATAAAGATAAGGAGAGAACAGCAGAGGCAGGCTGAAGATACTTATACTCTGCTGTGTCCAAGACACACTTCCCAATTTTCCCCTTTAATATTTGGGGTGATAAGAACTACCTCATCAAAAATTTACACCACTATCTTAATCATTCTTGTGAGGATTTTGCACTTCACAGTTCTGATCTCAATCTGAAGTTGTGTTTTTCATAAAAAGATCTTCTATTGGCAAGTAAAAGGCACACTAAATTTGAGAAGATGAATGAACCCAAGAATCATTTTTAAATAAAAAAGTAAGAATGGAGATCCACTTTCATTAAAGGAAACAGCGCAGAGGTGACATCTTGTGTCCATTTTAGTAAAAGGCTGAACACTTCCTGACTGTACAATGAGTCAATTTTCATTCCCTAACTGGGTTAGGTGTGACAGTCAGATTCAGGCTTATGCCATCAGCTGAGGCTAACCTGAACTAAAAAATTAACAATACACACACAGCAGTCCATTCTGATATAAACTGAACCAGACTAGCTTAACATTGTTCTGCAGTTAAGTCGATAATGCTCTCTATAAAGTTATTAAGTAGTCATAAAGTTCCTCAAAATTATTATTTAAGAAAGGGCACTGCACTTACCTGCATGTCCATTGCCAAGCCAGTTATCTGTCATTGCACCATTAAGGAAAATACAGCAAAACCTGACAGACTAAGATAATAAAAAGAAGGTGCAGACACACTGAACACACATGCAAAGGCCTTTAATGTTTAAAATAGTACTACACAGGAACACTGTTTTAAGTTAAACACTGGGTAAAAAAATAAAAACATCCAACGATCTAGAGACTTACACACTTAGTTTCAGTAATTGCCTTTTGGTAGCCTTTCAAGCTCCCACCTCCAGTCATTACCCTGAGGGCTGACATGCACTGGCCTTTCCTCCCTGATGGAAACTGGTTAACTACAAACTCAATCAGTCCTTGCTTGCATAAGAGCACATTACAAGTTTAACCGCTGGATTCTTTCATTACTTCAACACTGAAATTTTGGGTTTCTAGCTAAAGAAATACCAGGTCATGAGAAAACCCCAATACATTGCCAATGAGTCATAGAAAAGAAATAATTTCTTGAAGTGCATCAATGCAGGCTTTTAATACTGCTCTCCCACCTTGGAGCCCAAAGGATCTGTTGTAGTGACTGCTGAGTAGAAAGAATCACTGAGGGATTTTGCTATGATCAGAATGCTTTTAGCAGTTCATGAGTACACATAAAATGACACCCACCCTTTTCCCAGACCATGGATCCAGGCTGCTCTTACATCACATAGGGAACAAGCAACTGGAAGCTTTTAAATGACCAGTTTGAAAGTCAAGTCACAATTAGATTCATTCTAATACCTCACAGTCAACAACCTGCAATCATAAAGAAAACCCTCATCTTTGTAACAACATAACTAACAGCACATTGTTACTGTTGTGGCTCAACAGGACCAGCAGGAATAGCAATTCCCTCCACAGAGTGGAATGCAACTGGAGATAATCTATTGATAAGGCATTTCTACACACTAGCTCTCCTGACTACTCTGATGTCATTGCTCCTTTTTTTCCATGTGCTGTGCCACCACAAATTGCTACAAGGAGGCAGCAACAGCACAGACAGAATGGGAGCATCTCCAAGGATGGAGGTTCCACAGCCTTGTCAGTGTTTGACTGCCCTTACAGTAAAAGGGGGTCTTTCTTACATTTAAATGTGCTTCATTTTGTGGAACTGGTGTCCAGCTACAGAGTCCTCAGCACACAAAAGACATGGACCTCTTGGAGTGGTCCATCTCCAATTATCAGAGGATGGAACATCTCTCTTATAGGGAAAGGCTGAGAGAGTTTGGGACAGAGCATTTTGTAAGGTCTGTTGCATTAGGAAAAAGGGTAACGGTTTAAACTAAAAGAAGGTTGATTTAGATTAGGTATAAGGAAGAAAATTTTTACAATGAGGGTGGTGAAACACTGACAGAGGTTGCCCAAAGAGGTGGTGGATGTTCCATCCCCGGAAACATTCAGTGTCAGGCTACAGGGCTCTGAGCAACCTGATCTAGTTGAAGATGTCCCTGCTCACTGTAGGGAGGTTGGACTAAGGACCTTTCAATCCAAACTACATATGATTCTATAATAAGACATCCCAAGCTGCACAAGCCCAGCTCTCCCAGCTTCTCCTCATGTGACAGATGCTCCAACCCTTTAATCATCTTCATGATCTCTCACTGGACTCACTGCATTATGTCCATGTCTCTCTTGTACTCGGGAACCTGGAGCCGGATGCAGCCCCCCATATATCTCTCAAAGGCTGAGCAGAGAAGAGCAATCACCTGCCTCAACCTGGGGGCAATGCTCTGCCTAACACAGCCCAGGATGCCGGTGGCCACCTTTGTCATAAGGGCACATTCCTGGCTCATGGTCACCTCGGTGTTCAGCAGGACACCCAGGGCCTTTCCGGGAAGATACTCTGCAGACTGCCAGTCTCCAGTCTGCTCTGCTGCCTGAGGCTGCTCCTTGCCAAGAGCAGGGCTCTGCACTTCCCTTTACAGAGCTTCATTCCTGAGCAGCCCACTTCTCCAGCCTCTAAAAATCCCTGAATGGTAGCACAACTACCTGGTTTATCAGCAAGTCCTCCCAGTTTTGTATTCAAGATCTAAAATAAAATTCAGATAGAACAGCACACGGAAAAAGTGTTTCCCAGCATTCTCAAACCAACAAGCCCATATTTTTCAGGAAGCTGGCTCAGTTCGGGTATCACAACGCTGCTTTCAGAGATGACTTTTACTCAGCATGTAAAGGACCTCTCCATGAGGGACCTGAATTTCAGGGAGTGGCAGTGATCAGTCCTATCTGCACACAGCAGCTTGAACACACTAAATTCACTCTTAGCTCACACAGCAACCCACAAAAGCAGCTCAGTGAAGTGATAGAGAGAACACCACGGAAGCACGAGCAACACACAACATGAGCTGAGCTTTATGTAAGCAGAACTCTAGTCCCCAGACTACATACCCCTATCAGCACGTTTATTAGTGTTCTCCCTGCAAGCCACTACCTTTCCAGGAAGATTACACACTTACAAACTCGCCTGTGAACATTTGCTACATTTCAAAACTGTTCCTTGATAAAACCCAGTCTTTGAACACACTTAAGGCAGAAACAGGAGAACCAAAATATTCTCAAATTTGATGATGAGCAGAAGGATACAACAATGCAGATCCAGTTAAACAGCAGCATGAACATGTAATCTGCTGGCCTTCCATCAAAAGCACCTGTAAACAAAAAGAATTATCAGGAATGGTACTGAAATTTTGATAAGAAATTAAGACAACTTTTTTTTACTTTTACTTTTTGGAGTCTAAGAACAGCTTAGTTATTAACGGTTGCTTTACATGCAGTCTGTGGTTTACAATTTATTTTTTTTTAAATTTTAAAAAGCCTTAGAATAGAACAACCTACGGATTGAAAAATAAGACAGCCTACTGCAGTGTCTATACTCAAAAAGAACACACTGACTCTGGAGATAAGTGGTTTTAACTACATAAGCCTTCAAAATGGAGTTAGACCTCATCCTTCATATGAAACTGCCAGTCAGAAAGACAGAATAAGAAAATACACGTGCACAGCAAAGGCAGAGACATTAAGCACAATGACTGAGTCATGTGAAAAACAGCCCTCACTTAGGCAAATTGCAACCTCTTTGCATCATCTAGTCAGACTCAAGAGATATGACAGTTTTTACACTCCAGAAAAAAAATAGCATCCATGACAAGGAAGGTACACACTTGCAGCACATTCTGTTCCTTCTTCTAAGCTAATTTCCCATTTCAAACCTGTCAGTTTTTTGAGGACAGTGGAAACAAACAAACAAACAAACAAAAAAAGCAACATTCCCTGCAGGTCATACTACACAAAATTATCTTTAGATGCCCAGTTGGGTTTGTGACCTGGCAGAGACAAGAGTTAAAACAACTCCTTGCAAACTCCTTGCAAACATGAAAATTTGAGGCTCTCACTCTTGCAAAGTGTGGCAAAAAGCTGACACAGACCTCGACACCTGTGCAAGACTCCCATCAACTTTCACAGAGTCCCAGGCAGGCAAGGAAAGCCTGAGAATGTTGTTGCAAAAGACCCAGACCATTGACAAACTCAGTGCACCACAGACAAGCTGAATTACATGCTCATAATTAAACATCAAAAGGCCTAGAAAGAAGGCTATTGCTTCATGTTAGCACTATTTGGCTTCCTACAAGTATTTTACATGTCCCAAAAAATGTAAAGGAAGAAAACCTATTTTTAAGCGATAGTTTTTTAGAATAGCCTATGTAAAACAAAATTACTAAAATAACAATTTTAAGTTTATTATTTAAGTTCAGCCATGCAAATTACATGACAGGAAAAAAAACACTTAGAGAAATATATTGGAAAGTTTTAAAGTTGAAGAAATGCATAAACTGAAGTTGTCTCCTCACTGTTGCTATACAACAAACAAATAGAAACAAGAAAAGAGAAGAAGCTGACTAAGGCTGCAGAAACACCAGCTCAGGAAACCCTCCAGAGTAGGAAGAAATCAAAGTTATTATTATTCCCTTAAGTTTTTTCACTTCTCATTATCTAGGAGTCTGCTAACAAGAATATTAGACAAGCTATTTAAGTTGACTTTTCAATGAATATCTAAGAAAATTGAACTACAGATGCCAGAAAGCTCAACACAGCTATAGGTTGAGCTCTATTCCACTGGGTCCTTCTGTAAGGCCCAGGGTATAATCCAGTCATCTGGAAAGAGCTGCAGACTCATAATCTCATCATTCATACTGTTGGAGAGTGAACTTTTCATATTCTTCTTTCTCTGTTGATATTTGTTATGTTCTTCACCAACCCAAACAAAACAAAACCACATCAATCTCCCTTTCCTCAGGAAGCTACAGGTCAGCTTGTTACAAAAGCACAAGCACAGTACAAATCCATATGGACATTTCTGACAACTAAATTTGAAGCTGGCATGCAGCACCAGTGTACACTCAAAAAAAATGTACAACGCTGAAAATAGAAGTTTCACTTCCTCAGTTTCATAGACAAAAGGAGGCATAGACCAAAACTGATTTCCACCTGTAAACATTATCAGCAACTTATATACCTCCCACATGTAGAAGGATTCCAGCATTTTTCACAGAAAGAAGGGCCAATCTAAACAATAACTTAATTTATAACCAGAAAAATGACTGTAATAAAAAAGAAATGCATTGGTTCAAACAACAACACAGCTGACTTTCCAGTTTCAAAATTCATATGTGTTGCACAGCAGGAATTTACTGCTGAAAGAATTTATTTCCTTTCATGAGACCTGTGCCACAGCAGAGACAACTCCAGAATTTTCTCAGTGTATGTCCATTCAGTGATGTCTTAATTTGCATCTATTAACCAGGAACTCTTCCTACACCTGGCTTTGCCTGGTAGAATGGTTGAACTGCCACTCTCACATGTTCATAATCTACTGCAGAAAGGCTCAGAGGAGGAATCATTTCTAGCTATAGAACTACTACTTTCTTTCACTAAGAAAACAACCAAATACAATCTGGCACCACTCCTCCCTTTCCCTGCTACTCTTCTTAAGACTTAAATGGGGTTCCACAATAGTCTCTGGATGGCAGGTCTACCAGGGATCTCTTTACTGTGGGACTTTTCAAACATCACCATCAGTTCTATGACTCCATTAGAATTATACTGAAATTCTTGTTCAAAGGCTTCCAGGAGGAGCTTGGCTTTGAAAACACTTTTATTACTTACTTCAACTGAAACAAATTTTGTCTAGCTTTAATGAATGGTGCAGTGCAAAATAAAACTAGTTTTGAAGCTACCTTGCAACAACAATCACTTTTTTTGAGAGAAATGATCCATTATCTGATCTCCTTTCTTCCACTGAATTTTTCTCCTTAACTAAAAATCCTACTAGTCCCTTAACTTTTCCATGTATCTGTTTGGAAGAACGATATTTCAAATTTCATTTGTAGAAGGTATCTCTCAATTCAACACAAGCCAGAATATAACACAAGAAAGCATCCCTAATAAAAAGAGGAAAAACTGATGTTATTTTCTTCCAATGGATATACCCTTTATTACATATGCTCTAACATCCTTCTGTGTCAGAGGACACCAGAAACAAGAAAACAGAGGTAATATCATTTAGTCTGTCTCACTCCCTGAAATCCAACAACCAAAAGCACCAGGCCCTCCTATTGAAATAAGTATCAAGTTCAGATCCTAAATGGCCAAGGGAAAGCACCAGTCCCAGAAAACCAGTTTTTGGAGCAGTTTCACACTGACCAACGTAAGCTGGCACAGAGATGAGCCACCTGTATCAGCTTCAGGTAGAGCTCACCACATGCACAAAAATTAATGGATAACATACCTGTTTCTAATCGTGATGAATATTGATACAAGAAATACAAATTCACCAAGTAGAGAAATCCTGTTCCAGGTCCCACTGGGAAGAAGAAAGTTGCCGTTATCGGCCGCCAGATCTGTCCAAATCAAAAGAGAAAGATATATTCATATACTGTAGAATGAACTCATATGCACAGGTTTTTTGTTTCCATTCATTATCAATTACTTGGAAGATCAAGGAAAGATTAAAAACAGTTCAAGTATCAATTCCTGCTGCTTCAGCAGCTTTTACAGGTGTGGGGTTTTTTTTAATCTGATAAGCAAAACTGTTAAGATTACAACAGAAATCACACAAAGCTTCCCAGATTGCTTTCATTACATCTTTGCAGTACTGACTCTTTACTGCAGTGCAAAAGGATGCTACACTGTTCTAAAAGCATCCACACAAACCCCATTCTTCCCTGCTGAACAGAGGCCAAGCAACTCACACAACAGTCTTTAGTGTACCATTCCAGACAGCACACGCTGCTCTGAGCATTTTAGACCTGCTATAGAGCTTCCCAACAATCAATAGTGGACACAGCCAACTGCATGGCAGCACACAGCAAGGACAGAAAGTGGCCATTCATAATTGAGCTCCCTAAGCAGCAACAGTTCCAAACAGAGTATTAGGATCCTGAACATCACAGTTCCAGGAGAAATAACAAAACTAGAGGGAAAACAGTCATCTAAGCTATTAAATTTTGGGGACGATACATGGACGGTCCCTCCTAGAGCAATCTTTTAAACTTTTTTTTCACACTCAGCCTTTTGCACTGAAGATATAATGAGCAAATATAATAGAAATGTAAAGGTCAAGATCTTTCCTATTCCTTCATCTTCTGTTCATCCAATGAGTCCTCTCCTGCTATACACCTGCATAGCAAAACACTGAACTTGTAGCATCACAATGCAAGGAAAAATACTACGTCCAGCTTGTGAACACTTTTGACATTGCTAATGCACTCTACATCTGACACCTCAGGGTTTTAGTTGTTAGTTTGTGTGACCCGTACCTACGCACAGAAGCTGACAATCCCAAGCAGAAGCTTTTTCAAATTCCAAGCCAGAAGGTGCAAAAGATGCACTTTTTTACAGAATCACAGAATGGGTCAGGTTGGAAGGGACCACACTGGGTCATCTGGTCTAACCTTCCTGCTCAAGCAGTGTCATCCTAGAGCACATTGCACAGGATTGCATCCAGACAGTTCTTGAGTATCTCCAGCGAGGGAGACTCCATAACCTCTCTGGACAGTCTGTTCCAGTGTCCAGTCACTCGCACAGTAAAGTTGTTCTTTCTTCCTCACGTTCAGGTGGGACTTCGTGTGCATCAGTTTCTGACCATTGCCTCCTGTCTCCTATTACGTGTCACCAAGAAGAGTCTGTCTCCATCCTTTGACACCTCCCTCTAGATACTTATATGTATTGATAAGGCCCCCTCCCAGTCGCCTCTTCTCGAGGCTGAGCAGGCCCAGCTCCTTCAGCCTTTCCCCATAAGAGAGATGCTCCAGTCCCTTAATCATCTTTGTTGCCCTCCGCTGGACCCGCTCCAGGAGCTCCATGTCTCTCCAGTAGCTCTGCCCGAGTCCCCAGAGCCACCCACGGTTTGGGACGTTTGCACAGCTGACTGTCACCTCTGCTCCCGCAGTCACACCCACACGGTCACACAGAGCCACCTGAAGCCACAGCCACGGGTTTTGTGGTCACAGAGTGCCTCGGCACAACAACCAGCGCCAGCCAGAACAACTCCCACAAAAAAATTAGGGAAAAACACACCAGAATGAGACACAAGACGAACTGCGGGGCTGCCAGGCGCCACAGCCCTCTGTCACTGTCACTCTGGCAGGGTCAGGCACCGCCGCCCGGGCCCTGCGAGCACAGCACGGGCTAAACCCGGGCCCTTAATCCTGCACGGGTTAAGCGAGAAGGAGGGCTCGGCTCCCGCCGGAGGGGCTCTGGTCGCCCCCGGCGACCCCCGAGCGCTGTTCCGGTGCGAGGCCGCGAGGCCCGGGGAGAGCGCCGGCCCCGCCCGCAGCCCCGGCGCGGCCTCGCACTACAACTCCCAGAAGGCCGAGCGCGCGCCAGGCCCCGCTGCCCTATGGCGCGGGCGCCACGGGGCACGCCGGGAGCGGTAGTGCGGCCCGTACCTGGAAGCGGTGGATGAAGGCGTCGGGCCAGAGGAAGAGGCTGACGGGGCTGACGAGGCCCAGCTTGCCCACGAGTGGCACCGCGATGGAGCCGGCGAACCAGTAGCGGGTGATCAGCGGGATGCTCCGGAACCAGTCCCCCAGGTCCGACATGTCGCCGCCGCCGCGCCCGGCCGCTGCCGCCGCTGCTGCCGCTGAGGCCTCGCCACGAACCAACCGCTGAGGGAAAGGCGAGACGAGGGTCCGGCTGCGCCGCCGCCGCCGCCTGTCGGGCACCGAGGGAGCCCCGAGCCAGACGTGGCGCCACCGAATTCGGCCGAGCCGCCGCCGCCGCTTCCGGCCCCGCCTCGGCCGCCCGCAGTCCCGCCCCGGGGGTGGAGCGGGAACGACCCGGGTGACAGTAGCGCCGAGTCCGCCAGTGGCCCCGCCTGGAGCGGCGCTTATGAGGCGGGGGGCAAGAGGAAACCAGTAGCCAGTCCCGCTGGAAAACCCGTGTTCTGAGTGACCCCGCGCACTGCGTTATAAACAGCTTTGCCTGCGGGGACGCGACGTTTTCACTCCACTTTATTCACTGCGCGGCGCTGACCGCGCTCCGCTCCCCAACCGTGCGAGGGGAACTACAACTCCCGGCAGCCCCCGCAGCCGCCGGCGGGGCTGTTCCATTCCCCGGTAAGCCAACACTTGCGGGGGGGAGTTTCCGCCTCCGTTCCCGCTGCCCTCTGTTGAGTGAAGGGGGGGTGGGCTGTACCACTCGCGGGGCGTCCCCCGGCGCGGGCGAGGGGCGGAGCTCCGCGGGAGCGCGCGGGCGGCGGCGCCGGGCGGGGATGGAGCGCTGCGACCTGGGCGGGCGGCGGAGCGGTTCCGTGTGGGCCCGCAGGGCCGGGCCCGCGGCACCGCGGGGGTAACGGGGCAGGGCCGGGCCGGGCTGGGCAGAGGGGAGCGGCAGCCCCAGGGGAGGGGGCGGACGGGGCACGGCCGGCCCGGGCCCGCCTGAGCGTCTGCGGGCTGGATGGAGGGGCAGCTCGGAGATGCCCGGGTGGAACGCGGGGGAACACGTTCCCCTTGAATCATGGAATTGTCAGGGTTGTAAGGGACCTCTGGAGATCATCCAAGCCAGGGTCACCCAGAGCAGGTGATACAGGAACGTGTCCAGGTGGGTTTTGAATGTCTCCAGAGAGGGAGACTCCACGCCCTCCCTGGGCAGCCTGTTCCAGTGCTCAGGGTAAAGAAGTTCTTCCTCATGTTTAGGTGATACTTCCTGTGTTTTGGTTTATGGCCATTGCTCCTCCTCCTGTCGCTGGGCACCACCACCGAAAAGAGTCTGGCACCATCCTCTTGGCACCGCCTTTGAGATGTTTATTGCACTGATGAGATCCCCTCCTGAAGGCAGAGCAGGTCCCCCAGGAGGCTGTGAAACCCCCGTGCTCAGGCTGCTCACAGCTTGCCTGGGCACTTACCCCAGTTTCGGGCTTCAATTTGTTTGTACTGAATGAAATGTCGAGGGGAATTCCTAGAGTTTAGTCACAGTATGGTGTACAATGAAAACACGCCTGGCCCAAGCTGAAGAGCAGCAGCATGGATACTGCTTTGAGTGCCTCTGCCCTGGGGACTCTGGATGCAACCCTGTGAACTCCTAACTCTGTTCTCCCGAGTCTGTTTAGTAGCAGAGGAACTTTTGAAAGGCAGAGAGTGGCATAGAGAAGGTTGTGGGAGATGCTGTAACTGCACTGATAAGTACTCAGGTTTCAGGGTGGTTTTAGAAGCAGAAGTCGTACTTCACTTGTCATGAAACCTCCCACGTCACTAGATGTCAATTATAATTTAAAATACCTTATCTTTCTAGTTTCAATTTTATGGCCCTTTTATTGTAGAAAAGAATGGGCTTAACAGTGAGGTGCAATTAGTTTTGTCTCTAGTTTGTACCATGGCTGTATGGCCCTTCTTCTGGTGTTCACTCAGACTTTGTATCATACCTCCACAGCTGCATGTGCATGCTGGCTGCCATATTCTGTGTCTTAGAGAGGTGACAGCATCTTACATAGCCACAGTCACAGCATCCAGCCAGTGCTCTGCAGTCTTTAATCAGCCTTCCAATGTCCTGCAAAGTTTTAGATGTTTAGTTTGACTCTGAATTTATATCTAAGTGATGATAGAAAATAAATTGTTTGCTTAGTAAGCTTAATAAATCCAGGAGTAGCAGATCTCCCAAATCTTACTGTCCTGGTTCCTGGAAAATCCTTGCTCTTGCAGCTTATTCTGCACATGGGTTTCATTTCTGCATCTGGCTCCGTTTTAAGGGACAGCACAGTGCAAGGATAGAAGTGAAAAAACAGAAACTTTTGTTCAGTAATGTCTCAGATGAATAGTGATAAATATGGCTTTCTTCATAAAATCATAGAATGGTTTGAGTTGGAAGGGACCTTAAAGGTCATCTTGTCCCAGCCACCTGCCATGGGCAGGGATATGTCCCACTAGACCAGGTTGCTCAGAGCCCCATCCAACCTAGCCTTGAACACTTCCAGGGATTGGGCATCCACAACTTCTCTGGGCAACCTGTTCCACTGTCTCACCACCCTCACAGTAAAGAATTTTTTCCTAGTATGTAATCTAAACCTATTCTCTTTCACTTTGAAGCCGTTTCCCCTTGTCCTGTCACTACATGTCCTTGTAAAAAGTCCCTCTCCATGTTTCTTGTAGGTTCCCTTCAGGTACTGGAAAGCCACAATTAGGTCATCCCAGAGCCTTCTCTTTTCCAGGCTGAACAAACTCAATGCTTTTGGAGACTGTGGAAAGAAGTGATATTAGAACTGATGTACCCCCACATCTAATCAAAGTGGTTTCTTGCAGTAATGCACAGCTCTGTTTTCCAGCATGTTTCTTTGCATTGGTAATGACGAACCAGATTCCTTGCTGAGAGCTGAACTGGACTTTCAGATGCATTGGTAGATGATACATCAGGATATATGTTAGTGTTATTCATTAATAATGAAAATCAGGCAACCAGGAGCCACATAAGAGGATTGTGAATGGTGGATTTTCCCCATCTGCTTTATATGCCTCCTACCTACCTTCCAACACAGTGAATCACTTCCTTTGTAGTATATTTTTTATATTAAAAATACGTGGTTTTATTGAAGATTTTTCACTTAGAAGCATTTTAATCCTAGGTCTTGGAGAAATACATAATAATAAAATTATTCTAAGCACAGTTGTTTTGCTTGCTTTCTTCACAGACTTATAGTGAACATAATCCATAGTGTCCAAGGGTACCATTCAAAGACAATACGTTTTCTGAATGTGGCTTTTGACGGTTCTGGAGATTCTCTCCTCGCTGGGGACCGCCAGGGGAATATATATCTGTTTGACTTGAATGGAAACAGGTAAGAATATTTCTGTCAAGTCATTTTAATTGTCTGAGACATCCATAACCTTCAGGGGTGTGGAACGTGCCTGGACAGGATCCCATAGGTCAGGTCTTAACCCTCGTTTTCCCGTGAATGTGGAAATAGATAGTAGTTTGCTCAGAGCTGAAACTACAAGCCAGTGTCTCATGTAGCCTCCCTAAATATTATTTCATTAGTTTAGCTGCTCAAAAAGAGTAGAGGCTTGTAACTAAGCAGAACAGCAATTTCATAGAACTTAAGTACTACCCCAAGGAGTTATTCTTTGGTCAGTACGGATCAATGAATGAGCCATGAATTGCAATAAACTAGTGGGTTTTTATTTGCAGAAATACATCAACCAGTCTTTTCAACTTTTCACTACTGAGTTTTAAAATATTAGGACTGATTTTTAGATTTATTGTAATTAGATATAATTTACTTACTCCTTTAGAGTTGATTTATTTTTTTTCTCGGTGAAATATATATTGAAACTGATTAAGTTATTACTTCAAGTGTTGCTTCACTATGAACCAAAGTTTCCTAACACAATGAGAATGTGTATTTTTAAATAGGTTCAACCTTGTCCAGCGAACGATGCAGGCTTGCACTGCTTTGGCATTTAATCTTCACAGAAAGACAGAGTTCCTGGTGGCTTTGGCAGATTATTCTGTTAAGTGCTTTGATACAGGTAAGGAGAAATTTGAAGGATTGGTATAAAAACCTATATAATTTTAGTTTTGATCTTGAATTCTTGGACAGGTTTTTTTTTGGAAATCATACTGTGTATTTCATTCCATCTGTCCAAAAAAGAAAAGTTTAGGCCCATAGGGATTATAGTTCTGTGGGTAAATGAACCTAAATCAACCCTTTGCTTTGCCAAAGTTCCTTGTTCCCACTAAGTCACCCAGGCATCTGTTTAACTGAAGTCCAGCACAGATCACAGTTATGTATGTTACCTTTTTTTTAAGCAGTTCTGTATATGTTTGCTTAGAATGAGGTGCTCTATTATAATAAAGTCGAAGTCAGTTGACAGTATGTTAGTTTAGCAACTGAACCAGTTCTTAATTATATTTACAGTAAAATATTTGAACAAAGTGACAATACAGAATAAAAGAACTGTCAATACTTTTGAGTATTCAAGTAGTTCTCTATCCTTGTTCAAAAGCAATGTTAAAAATTAACTTCACAGGCCAACTGTGTGTCTCTGTCTTGATTAGAAGTTAAATGGTGAAAGGCATTGACAATTCATTCTTCTTAAATTGATCTTTATCAAAAAGTGCAGTTGTAGTGTCTCTCAATCTGGATTTAAATCTTTTTAAAAAGCTGTAGGAATCGCTCATCTGCAATTTGAGGATTTGAGACTGCTTTATCTGTGAAGATTTTAATGTAACACAATGTTCCTCAAAAGAGAGGAAGAATCAGAATTAAGGTCTGAAATCCTCTGCAGTTTTTCTCTTCCTTTCAACTACACCAAGACCAAACTTAGATGTTTGGATGCACTTAGAGCAGTATTAATTATTCCAGAAAGTACTGAATGTTTATATGGTGCTATTTCCAGATATCAAGTCGTACTCAGTAATGTTTTAAAATATAAATGGTATTCACATAAGTCAGTATTGAGTGAACTATCCTTAGAGGTGTATTAGATACTACTTGGTGGGCTCCATCCCCTTCTTTAGAAGCCGTGCTGTCTAATCCCATGTCACCCCTCAGGTGATGATAGCTTTAAGCACTCAATTGTCTGTAAGCACAGCAGAAAGTTTGACTGTTAGTCTTTATGAGCTGCTCTATAGCCATTTCCCATGTTTGATGCCACAGCAGCAGGTCAGCTGGAACAACCCCATGGGCTGTCAGGCAAACCACCCAGTGTAAACTGTATTTGCCACAAGTGCAGTTTGGTTGCTGAGGGAAGATTAGTGGTCATGCAGTCACAGGTGGGAGACAATGTAGTCAGAGGAGCCGTTTCCTTAGTATGCAGTGCACAGTATAAAAATGTTTTGGATCCTAAAGGAATTCATGAAGTGTTGTTTTCTGACTGTACCTTCCTGTAGTCATAGCCAGTTGCCATTAAACCTTTCTTCCTTGCACCTGTAAATAGCTGCATAATCATTCACAGACTCCATCCACAAGTAAAAACAAGTGGAGAATTCTGACTAGAACATTCAGTCTCAACTTCTAGAGATTACT